CTTCCCTTCCCTTCCCTTCCCTTCCCTTCCCTTCCATTCTATTTGCCTAAAGGAAACTGTAGAGCAGGGGTGTCAAACTTGATTTCATTGAGGACCACATCAGGGTTGTGTTTGACCTCGGGGAGGGGGAGAGGAGGATGTGGTCATGGTCAGGGTGGGCATAACCAGGTTGATGTCACTCATGCCAGGGGTGCCTGTGGAAGCCGAGCACTCTACCAGCAAAAACAGGGTCCCAAGTTCCATTTTTGGTTGTGATGGCCTCCTGCAACCCTCTGCCAGTGAAAATGGAGCCTGGGAAGGCCACCTGTGGTCATTGTGAGCTCCTTTTTTAGCTGCAATGACCTCCTGAAATCCTCTGCCAGTAAAAATGTAGCTCACAAGGGTCGCCTGTGGTCATCCCTAGCTCCATTTTCACTGGCAGAGGCACCATAGGCCAATCCTTCAATGTTTCCAGGGTGGCCCCATGGGCCAGGTCTGAGTACCCAGTGGACTGGATTTGGGCCCTGGGCTTTGGGTTTGACACCCCTGCTATAGAGCAAAGGTAAGAGAAAGTAGCAAGACTTTGGCTGCATTAGCAAAACTTTTTAATCTTTCTTTTGCCAAATAAATTCAATTTCTTAGCTTTGCACAACATACTAAACCTACGGTAATCACACTGCCTGGATTAACATACTGATCCATGCACCTGTCAACCATATTTACACTTGGTTCACTTATTCTACTTGCCCTGTTTGCATGAGTCAGCTATGGCAAGCCTGGGAGTTGGCATGCTTGCAACATCCTCTAACCCTGTTAGTCAATCCCTAGTTTGGTGTTACTTGATACATACACATTTTTGGAAGTTCAGTTCCTGAAGTTTCTTTGCTAGTTTGAAAATCTCTTCTTTTATGAGCCTATTTTCCATTATAGAAGAAAAGGCTTAAGCCACAGACAAGCCAAACCAGGAGCAGTGTGCATTGAAATTAATAAGTGTCAGGGAGCAAAGTACCAAGGCCCAGTTTAATAATCTCGTGCCATGTGCTGTCAAAAGGGAAATGTGGTTTCCATTAGTCTCCTTGGGTTATTTGCTTTAAGACTGCAAGCTTCATGGAGGTAATGATCTCAGGTCTCCAGGGGAAAGTGCAACTTACACAGGCTCTTTTGCACCCAGCCTCTGCCATGCTTCAGCATCTACTTGCAGTCTTTGAAGCCTGATTCTGTACTGATGCAGGGATAGAAAGCAGGGAGAGTGGATTAAATGGAGAAAAGTGTTGAAAAATGACTCTCCTAGGACCAAAGAGCTTTCAACACTGGAATGCCTTATCTGAGAAGTTAAAGAGAGAAAATCGGTTTGTTTTTCTTCCTTAGAGCTCATCCATAGAACCAACAATGTGATTGCTGAGAACCTCAGTTGAATAGATTTATGCTTATCTCCTTAATCATACCAAAATCATTTTCAGTTAATGTTCCTAGACAGAAGCATCAGTGCAAGTACTTAGACTTGGGACAACATGTAGCAATATCTGCAGCTTCCTTTCAAAGTTATAAAAGATGTTGGGAAAGACCTTTCCGAACACGTTTTATAATCTCAGGGGTACAATTAGCGAAATAACTGCAAATTAATCTTGTTTCCATAAAGTTGTGTAGTAGCTTTTCCCGATATGTCAAGTCATCCTTATCTTTTCCAGAGTTCTTAATCTGTGTCCGATGCAGAGGTGGTATTAAGCCAGTTCTGGCAGGTTCTGGAGAACTGGTAGCGGACATTTTGAGTAGTTCAGAGAACCGGCAAATAGGCTGGCCCCGCCCCTGCTGCCTCCCAGCCTCCCAGCTGATCTTCTTTTGTTGCCCTGAACAGGANGGGAATGGAGATTTTGCAGTATCTTTCCCCTGCCACGCCCACCAAGCCACTCTCACAGAACCAGTAGTAAAAAAAATTGAATTTCACCACTGCCTCATTGGTTCATGATCAGAAGGAGAGAGGGAGGATTACATTGCTGCAGTAAATATTTTAATAATAAAAAAAGAAAAGGATCAACAGCATATATCAGCTGATGATCTGTCATTCCTCGCTGAATTAGTTGAGTACTTCCTCTAAAAGAGTTTTTAAAAAACATTTAGAGGGAATTACCTGGCATTAGTTCAAGGTTTCATATTATTTCCCTTATTGCCCCAGCTTTATATGTGCTAAAATCTGCTCAGGCGATCAAAAGGTGTCAGTTGTAAAATTACCCCATTCGCCACATGATTTCTACAGCTAAGCAAGAAGGGCCTTTCACAACTATTGACTTGGTAAAATAAATATGCTCTTGCTGTTCCCTTGCATTTCACTGTAGACAGTACTTATGTTATAGAGATTCTGCATTTTCCCCAAATTGCAATTTTCTTTTATTGGAAAGAGCTCATGTCATAGTTGTCATTATCATTCATTCCCACCATCACATTCTCCATGTTCCTCAAGTTTCTTTACCTTCACTATGTTCTCTCCAGAAAGGAATTTATGAGTAACTGAAATCAAAGGCCACTTCAGACACACCAAGAATAACCTTATGTAAAAACAGCTTTATGGTGATCAATATAAAATGGTCCCAACTCTTTCTTATACTGATTCCAAACAAACATTAACTAATACCTGGCATGTTTAGGGATAAACAGTCTTTGTGAAGAGAGTCTTTTAATTCCATCTGATGGCTGTCCAGATTTTTGCAGGCCTGTTCAGATATCCCTAATGCACGTCCCAATAATTCAACTTTTCAGCTGAAAGTATTGTACAAATGCAGCTAAAACCTCTTGGCAGCATTAGAAGGATAATTTAAGACTGAGGTGCAAAGTACAAATGAGTAAATAAATGACAGACAACTACAGTAGTTCCAAAAGCATAATCTAAGTTCAGTCCAAAAGTTAATGCTAGCTAGACTATCAACTCTTCTCTTCTCTTCTCTTCTCTTCTCTTCTCTTCTCTTCTCTTCTCTTCTCTTCTCTTCTCTTCTCTTCCCTTCCCTTCCCTTCCCTTCCCTTNTCTAGACCTACTCATAGTCAAGCAGTTTAACACAATAT